ATATATATATATATATATATATATAGAGAGAGAGAGAGAGAGAGGAGGGACTCCCTTCCACAGGGGTTTGGGATGACAGAGTCCCAGCACATCCAGGCAGTATGTATTCTGGCATTCTAGCTCCTAGAAAGTTGCATGTTGCAGCCTAACTTGATGAGAATCTCAAATCTGTGTAGTACCATGTAACTTCACAAAAGTTTCCAGGTGCTGTGGCTAGGGCTACATTGAAAAGGGACCCGTTATCTAAATTTATCTGATGGTCTAATCTCTGGAAACACATAGATGCACCACTGCACTTATGGTTAGCTGCCTCATTGATACAACGTGGCTCAGTAGAGTGATTGTGGTACAAATCCACTGAGAATGTGTCATGAGAAGAGAAGGTTGCCATACATAGAAATAGCTGAAGCTATTGCTCTCACATACGGAAAGACCAGGGAACACGCCATTTGAAGTGGGCACATCCAGTTCTGTGTGGTTTAACGCTGCTACTTGATCTAAAAACAGTTACTTACATGATTCCCATCACCCTCCGTGCTAATAAGGCAGCTGTTACTAACAGCATACTGAGAGAATGGTGGGTTCACTGTTGCTCCATCCCCAGTGTCATGCCAAGTTGACCTTGAAACAGACTCTGGCCCTTGTTACCTTGCTTCGCCTCTCAGGTATAGTTTTCAAAGAAGCCCACAGAGAAACTGTTATATATATATACATTGTAGCAACACTAATCCTTGCTCCTTAATCTTCTTCAGCCAAATCAATACCTATGGCCCCATCATGCTCTGTTTCTGGATAAGCATTATACTGAAAAATTCTTGAAGAGAAAAGTGTGAGCCTTTGTGCTGTCCAAAGTGTCTATAGCTGGTGATGGCTGAGATTGCATTCCCAGCCTGGTGTACCAATCATAACAAAGTGAAAGGACTCAACAACTTTTGTCAGCATATGTGTGTGTGCAAAAGTTCCAGTTGCCTTGATATCCCCAGAATGGGGGACCATATCCCAGAATTATGAGCAAATTAAACATTCTTCCTTAAATTGTTTTTCACAAGATCTTTCATAATAGTATCAGGAAAATAAACTAAGATTTTTTGATCTATTATTTATTCAGCAAAAATTATTATATTTCTAGACTGTTACATCTGAAGTCCTAAGAATCTATGCTTTCTTTCTGTAGAAGTATCCTTTTCTATATTCTTGTTTTTTCTTTTTCAAAACATGGTTTCTCTGTATATGGCCCTCATTGTCCTGGAACTCACTTTGTATACCAGCCTTGCCTTCAACTCACACATATATATGCCTGCCTCAGTGCTAGGATTCAAAGTGTATATGTCAAAAATACACATTTCCCAAACTCAGTAAATTCAGAAACCTTAAGGTTTAATAAAATATTTTGTTAAACATACAAAGAGCAGATGCTTATAATAGTTTCCAAGTTATTTTAAGAAATTGTTAAAGGGAAAATTACTTAATTCATTTCAGGAAGCTTGTACAGTTCTCATACGTAAACAAATCTTCTCAAATGAAAAGAATTAGTGGCTAAAGAGATGTTTCAGGGGATAAGAACACATACTGCTCTTGCAGAGGATATGAGTTCAATTCCCATGACCCCCATTGGGAAGTTCACAAGTTCCTCTTAATCCAACTCCCAGGTAGAAGTAACTCTCACAACTCATGAGCATATACTTACACTAACACCAGTAATTAAAAATAATAAAAATAATTATATGATCAATTAATTATTGTACATGCAAAAGTACATATGAAAATAAACAAATTGACTCTTCTAATATATGGAAGTGACCCATAGGGCTTATTTTAGACATAAAAGAAATTCAATATCACAAAAATTCATTGATGTAGCAGTATACAAATGCTAAGAAGAGACAACTTGAAGTGATTTTATGAAGAGACAACTTGAAGTGATCTTATATATGTGTGATTAAAATTTGAGCAAACCAAATAGAAAAGAGTCTTTTTAACCTTATTTAGAGTTTTTTTGGCTCAGTATTTCAGAGAACAGGTGATCATGGCAGAGTAGGTATGGTGGCAGAGTGTGTGGTAATGGTGGATGAAGCATGGTGGCTAAGTTTGAGGAAGCTGATCATCTTGAACATTCTTTCTGAAATCACTTAGTGCTGTAAGCTGAGCCTATGGTGCCCGCATTCATGAGTAGAATTCAGTGTCAGCTAAACCTTTCTAAAAGCATCCTCATAGACACACCTAGAGATGTATTTCTACAATGATCCTCAGTTCCATCAGGCTGATAATAGAAATGAGCCATCACCAACATGAAGAAAATATGTCTAAAGTTTCATGGTCAATTTTTTTCTGACATTTTAACACATGAAGTAGATTAGATAAAATACATGGGCCATAATTCTCACCAGACACTTTTCTTGGGAAAAAAATAAATGATCTATAAGAATATAAAAATTTAGCTTTCCCTTAATGCATTAAGATTTAATACAGATTAGTTGTTTTCAATAGGCACCTTTACCTTGGATTACCTGCTGCACTGAGAGGATCAAGCTTTCTCCCTGCCTTCTTCATTCTAAGACTTCTCAGGAAATTCCAATTCCCTGGGGAAATCTACTCTTCAGAACCTCAACTTACAGAGATGAAGCTCACAGAGAAGGAAAGCGAGTGTGCAGATGTGCACAGAAGTCCTAAGGTCGAGAATGATGGGGAACTGAAAACTAAGCTGTAGTGTGATTTCTACTGGCCTGTGTAAGGCCATGAACAGAATGTACACTTGACTAGTTTTGAATCATGAGAGATATAATAGAAACCCTTATCTTTAAGAGTTATAATTAAAAAATAATTGCTAATATCATTTTCAGAACTTACAGGGCAGTACTTAAGATTTTCCTGGTGAAGACTTTTATGGTGTCCTCAACAATGAACTTTAAAATTGCCTTCATTTTTCAAAGAGCATTTCCTCCTTAAACTCAAAGGAAATGTGTGTTACTCATATATCTTCAAATAGATTTAAAACTTTCCTATTCCAGAAGCACTAATTTTATTGAATTTATATTTCAATATTGGAGGTAATTAGAGCTGAAATTATGCTTCCTGGTTATATCATACTGAAATAAATTGTTCAAATTCATCCTTTCTATGTGTGTGTTTGCATGTGTCTTTAACTATTTAGGAGTTGTTAACTTTCTTTTTTTCATTCTAGACTTTTGATGCTTTGGAGATTAGACTCTCACTAACTTATCACCTCTTGTTTTCAATTCCTTCTTTCACTATTCATGTCACACATTTGATCATTTTGTTTAGAACACTGACAAATTTAAACAGGTTATTAAAACTCATGTAGAAAAATCTCTCTCTCTCTCTCTCTCTCTCTCTCTCTCTCTCTTTCTCAGTTCAAACCTCGTCATGAAATTCTTTCTTAAAATTGAGTATTTGAGAATGCCAGTCCTTTCAAAGGTGCTTTAAGGAGATGAGCTGTATCTCAGAGGTACAATGTGTTGTAGAAAATATTTAATCCCAAACTGGAGTTTCTACCACATCTTTGGTTATTCAGCTCCCAGATAAAAGACACACAACTTTTATGTTTACAATAAGCCATTAAGGCACTAAAGCTGGGCAGATATCTACCCTCTCAGCTTTTATGTCTACTTCCTTATCAATAACCCTGAGTTATAACTTGCCATGTTCCATCTGGGAAGCTCTTAACTCCAATTGACCAACCTTCATGGCCATGTTTTCACTATTTACTTACCTGCGGTGTCTCTCCTCTCTCCATCTTCTTTTCTTTCATCCTCATGGTCTCTCCCCGGAACCCCAGCCCAAATATCCAAACCTACCTATCTCTCTTCTGCCCAGCTATAGGCTGTGGGCATCTTTATTCACCAATCAGGATTAATTTGAGGGACAAAGTTACATAGCATTACTTGCATGTGTGCAGATTCTTTTATTCCTGGAAGCAACCAAGCCTTGAGGGCCAGTAGTTAGCATTACAGTGCTATGACCAAACCTCAACAACAGTGCTTACCTAACACATGAGAGGCCCCAGGCTAAACTCCAAGGTACAGTAATATACAGACAAAATAAAGTAAAATAAATCAATGGTGGTTGAAGTATAAGGTTAATTCTCATATTCAGGAGGAGTCTTCAGCCTGTATTCATTTTATTCATATATCCTGAGAGCACCTGGCTATTAACATTCAAAATAATATTAGAGTAAAACTTTTGAAGAAGGACCAGGTAGACAACTCAGCAGAAATGATGCTTGCCAGTAAATCTGACAAGGTGAGTTTAACCCCTGGGACCAACATGGTAGAAGAAAAGATCCAACTTTTGAAAGTTGTCCTTTGCCCTCTACTCAGATATAGTGAGTGGTGTACATGCCACACTCCTAAGCAAGCAAGGAAACAAGCAAGCAAGCAAGCAAGCAAACAAGCAAGCAAGCAAGCAAGCAAACAAATATACACTTAAGTTAAAATCAAGAAAAAATTAAAGACTGACTTTTACTATTAAATTGGGATTAGTAAAATTCAAGGTAAACATTAAAAAGAAAATCAAGTTGTGGTTTGAATGAGAAATGTCGCTGTTAGGTGCAGACAATAAGAAATTTGGTGGAATATTGGTAATGCTGCTTGAGGAAGATTAGGGGATGCATCTTTTTTGAAGGACGTGTATCACTGGTCTGGGTTGGGAGTTAAAAGCCTCACTCTTCTTCCATTTCATTCTCTGCTTTGTGTTGTGGTTGAGCATGTGAAACCTCAGAGTCCTGCTGCATTCATCATGCCTGCTGCCTGCTGTAATGACTCCTTGCCACGAGGGACTCAATCCTTCTAGAATCAAGCTAAAACTTTGTTGCTTTATAGGTTGCTTCATGGTGTTTTATCATGACAGTGAGAAGGAATAGATATAGAAGTTATCTTATTTTGTGGTTGATAAAGAATATAGAAAATTTTAAGAATCAAGAGACTTTCTGTCTGGCTTGCCAAGTGGGTAGGTGTTGATGCCTGAGAGCTGTGCAGAACTGGCTCTGTCCCTCAACTGGGCATAATGAGAGGGCTGGCCTCAGTGCATGAGATCAGCAGAGCTGATGCCATCTGCAGCCACCTGCAGTATTTGGGAGAGCAGGGCCTTCACACTGCAGGAGTTGTAGGTGAATCAGCCCAGAGGATATGAGCATGAGAGGGCTGGCCCTGGCACTCATCTCCAGGGTAGTGAAATGGATGAGAAGAAATACCCTTTTCCCTTTTCACCCCTCACCACCTGCACCAGCAGAGACTTGGCCCTGGGGTCATGAAAGGAGCAGAGATGCCAAACCCCTCACCAGGGGCAACATTCTGGAGAGCAGACTATGGACCTTATCTGAGCAGCATAGTAGAGTTGATCCTGTCGGGGAGGGCACAAGCAAACTGGCCCCTAGGATGTGGTCAAGGGAGAGTTGGTTCTGCATCTTGTCTTCCATACAATGACATGAGTAAGGGAGAGATGTCCACTTTTTTACCCCTTGACACTTATAGCAGGAAAGAGAGGCCATTAGAGTGAGACAACTGGCAATGTCCCTTACTGGATGCAATACTCAGTAGAGAGAGCCTTGTACCTTCCTTGTGAGGCAGGGTAGCGCTGGCTCTCTTTTGGGGTGGGGGTAGGTGAGTAGCTAACAAGGATGTGTGAGTGGGACAGTGGCCTGACCAGTTTAGATATGTCTCAGGCCCAGCTCCAGGGTGTTGAATTGGCCCACCTCAACCTCTATCCATCAGTAAATGATTAGATTTCAGGAAGGGGACAGTTCTATAGGTCCAAATTACAGGATCTGTATGACACAGGTCATCAACAAGATATCTAAGAAGAGTCCCATTGAAGTTCCAGTACTGGCAGAGTAACAGAAGGCAGACACTTGCTCTCAGACAAACTAGCCATTGTCATAAACACTTGCAAATAAAGAAGTGGAGATGAAAGAAGACACTGTGGGTCGTGCTGTCACACACCACAGCTTTCACCATGAGATTTTCTTTCTTTTCCCTCTGTTGTTGGGGAGGTCGCAGGGTTGAGTGATGGTACAACGGGATGGGAAGAGGAGTGGGATTGGAGTGCATGATGTGAAAATATCACACACACGTACACAGAGGGAGACACAAACACACAAAGACAAAAAGATTTTATAAATGGAATAATCTCTAAAGATGAGGAGGATGAAGGAAGGAAAGGTAAGGGGTGGAGGTCAGTATACTACAGGCTAGAGCAGACCAAAGGCAGGGACAATCTCAACAGCTCTTTGAAAGAGCCAGAATGTTCATCAGAGGGTTAAGCTGACAACTTTCTGTTACTTGAACTGAGGCCCACCCACTTCTAACAAGGGAAGATGTATTTTGCTCATGTTTCCAGATATCTTAGGCCATGATTGTTCAGCCCTGCTGCTTTGAGCCTGTGTCTGTTCAGCACATTGGTAAAGATGCTGTTGTCACAGTTGATGTGGTGGTTTGAGTAAGTTTGACCTCAGTAGACTCATATGTTTAAATGCTTGACCCATAGAAAGTAGGGGTTTAAAGGAAATGCCACATTGTTGGAGTAGATGTGGCCTTTTTGGAGGAAGTGTGTCACTGGAGGGAGGTGGGTTGAGTTCTCCTAATCTCAAGCTATACCCAGTGTGACACTGTTCTCTTGACTACTGTCAGATCAAGATGTTGAACTCTTGATTCCTAATGTACCACTTCAGCCTGCACAATGCCATGCTTCTCATCATGAAGTTATAAGCCAGCTACAGATTAATGTCTGCCATTATTAGTTGGCTTGGTCATGGTGTCTCGTCACAGCAATAAAACCCATGCTAAGATATCTGTGAAGGAAATGGAGAATGATGGAATGGACCAGAGGCCTAGTATTTGTTACAATGACTGACCACCATGGACTCAACTTCATAATTCTTGGCCCCTTCTCTTAATTCTTAGCCCTTTCCACCAGATTTCAACAGCATCTCACTAAAGACTGAGATTTTAAGACATGGGCTCCTGGAAGAATAGTCCAAACCAAAACCAATAGCAAACAGAAAGTAGACAACCCAGTTGAAGAGCTTTCTGCAGCTATCTTATATGTTGTTATGATTTACTGAATTAGTCAGTGTGTATTATAAAGGAAAAGTTTCATGGAGCTAGAAAGATGACTTAACAGGTAAGAGCATGTGCTGCTCTTTGCAGGATCTGCTGTTGGTTCCCTGCTCACATATAAAGATTATCACAGCCACCTGTGACCCCACCTCTCAGTGATCTGATGCTTCTCACCTCAGAGATACATACATACCTATGCTCACTTGCATATACCCAGTACCTGGGACTCACCCTTATTAAAGAAGTACTCTTACTCCAAGAGCACAGCTCCTTGCTTCATACTTTCTAATGGGAAAAGCAGCCCAAAAGAAAGAAAGAAAGAAAGAAAGAAAGAAAGAAAGAAAGAAAGAAAGAAAGAGAGAAAGAGAGAAAGAGAGAAAGGAAGAAAGAAAGAAAGAAAGAAAGAAAGAAAGAAAGAAAGAAAGAAAG